CACAACCCTGCTTGCTGAAACTGAGGAAGACCTTATGCACTTGCTGCAGAGGGTCAAGGACTGCAGCCTTCAGTATGGACTGAGGCTCAATGTCAAGAAGACAAAGATTCTCACCACTGGACCAATTGGTAGCATCAGGATGGATGGTGAAGAGATTGAGATTGTTCACAGCTTCAGTTTGCTTGGCTCCACGGTCAACACTCTTGGCAACAGCAGTCAGGAAATCAAAAAATGTATTGCGATGGGAAAGTCTGCTGGTAGGGACCTCTCTAAAGTACTCAAGTGCAACGGTGTGTCTCTGGAGATTAAGGTGCGTCTGATATAGGCCATGGTCTTTGCAATTACTTGTTAGGCATCAGAGAGTTGGACAATGACTAGGGAGGATAGAAGGAGAATTGATGCCTTTGAGCTGTGGTGCTGGAGAAGAGTATTGAATGTACCATGGACTGCCAAGAAAACAAACAGATTCATCTGGGTGGCAGCTTGGAGGCAAGGATTTGGGGCTTCGTCTGACATACTTTGGACATGTTGCCAGGAGGGACGGGTCCTTGGAGAGGGACATCATGCTTGGTAAAGTGGAGGGACAGCACAGGAGGGGAAGACCCTCTATGAGGTGAATTGATTCGGTGACTGGGGTAATCGGGATGGGTGTGTCAGAGGCGGTGTGGTTGGCACAGGATAGAGCAGGGTTTAGGGCTGTTGTACACAGGGTCGCTATGACTCAACTGTCACCTAACAAAAACAACAACAACAACAAATCACACAAGAGGAGATTACCTATTGTCCTCTCATTGAGCAGCTGGTGGATTAAAAGCATTTTCTTTGGGTTGGTGGTGCAACTCCTTAACCACAAGGCCACCAGAGCTCCCTAAATGGTAATTCTGGGTTGCCATAATTTACATTTAGATTGCTGTGGCGGTTGATTTTTTTTTTAATTCTTTCCTCCCACTATTATTTTTTTGGTATAAATTGTATCATTTTTATTTTTCAAAAGGTTTTTGATGCTTTTCTTTTAAAATCAAATGAGATCTTAACTAGGTGTAGCTATTAACTATATGTCATAGATTTTAATCCCCCCCTTTTCTAGCCCCACTGGAGAGATATGTTAACATTTCCCCCTGAAATTCTCCAGTGCATTTACAATTTTAATACTCTTAGGTGCTGGGCCTCTCACCTGACCTGTGGCCTCTCCACAGAGAAGCCCCGAGGAAGGGGAAAAGCTGCTCTCACGATTGATGTCAGCTACACCGAGGGAAGAGCACTACCAGGTCTCTGAAGGTATCCCAGGAACTAATTTCCCTTGATCAAATGAAGGGCCTTAGGAGGAGCCACAAGGCAGAAAGGAAAAGAAATCTGAGAGAGAATACCAAATTCTGTGAGGAGTTTGAAGGACCTGCGTTAAAAAGGGCATCGTACCTTTAGGACTTCAGAACTAGCCGAGCTCCATATGCAGCTATTAATATGCAAAAAATGCCTTCATAAATACTTGATTCTGCTCACAGTGGGGAGGCAGTTCATTTGAAAGAGGAAATGGGAGCTTGGAGTTGAAACATGTCTGCTTGTCTCTCCCCCCACCCCCCCTTCCATTGCTCTTTTCATCTCTACATTTTCCCTTGTAGTTTTCTTTTCCCAGACTTAACCCCCTCCTCTAACTCCTAGGAAGTTGTTGATGCCGGTTGCTACTCTCATTTCTATTTACGGATTTTATTTATGGCTCCCCGAGTCAGGTGCGTAAGGAGTGCCCGAGGAGCCGTCCCTTCCTCTGCCATGTTCTGTGCACTGGGGGCAGGAGCTGTGGCCCTCCCAGACCGACCACTGCAGACAGGCGTTTGGGAAACATAAAGGAGAGGCCTTTACAAAGCAGCCAATAGGGGGCACCCACGGCAGCATCCAGAACTGGGTCAATCCCTTAACCCAGTCACGTCTGCAAAACCCCATCTCGCTTTCTCTTGCCTACAAGTCAGACTCTGTTTTCCAAAACCAGGTTTGTGACGTCTCTTTCAAGGATAGAGATACCAAAATATTCTACTTTTGGAATTATTTTTTCCTTCTCTGAGATAGCAAGGGGATTAAAAGGTAGAAGTATTTTATGTGATTGAACTCCCAATATAGTCTGATTCTAAAGAAGAGAAGGGGTGAGGCATGGGGAATTAGTGAACAGGAAAGGAGAAGAGCAGAAACTGCTGATTCTAATAAAGATCGATTTTGTGTGATATCCTGCCTGCCTCAGAGTGGGAAGGTGACAGTCTAATGAATCCACAGGATTTGCCAGTGCCCTATCAAGGAACCTAACTGAAACTTGCCAGGCAGAAATTTGTTTCTAAATCCTTTCCAGATGCTTTCTTGTAAACATGAAACCAGTCATTTACATTGAGGAGGCTGAGGAAGTAGTTAAAGTGATTAATCTAATAAAGGGCAATTTAGCCTCAAAAAGTAAGGGGAAAGTAAAGAAGATAACGCACCCCCAGTTTTCTCCATTTTGGGGGCTGGTAGAGCACCTAGGCCACATGGCTTTCCTTTTGAGAGATTTTTTTACTGAACTAAGTCTTCTGTGACTTGAACAAGTCAACGGGTTCTGGAGAAAACAGTTCCTCTCATTTCACACAAAGTCCTCAGAGTAAGCGGAATTGCCGCAGACTCAAGAGGGAAACGCAGGATTATGATTTAAGATCTTCAGCCTAGTGTTTTCCTTGCTGACTGCAAAGTTCATAATTTAGTAAAGGACTTAATTTGACATGTCTGAACCACTCTTTTATTACAGGTTGATATTAGGTCTCCTGAAGTACAAATTCACAAGCTAGGTGAATTTGGGTTGTGGTTAAAAGCCTGTGAGCCATGTGTGAGGCCTTTGCAGTTATTTTTCCAGTTTTGGGGCTGATTCTGACTCATGGGGACCCCATGTGTGTCAGGATAGAACTGTGTTCCTCAGGATTTTCAATGACTGTGGTCTTTTGGAAGGAATTTGCCAAACCTTTCTCCCAAGGCATCTCAGGTGGATTTGAACCACTCACTTTTTGGTTAATTTTCTTTCTTGTCACTTACAAACTTGGAATTATAGAACCATAAAAACTTAGCATGTTCAGTCACAGACTCTCTTTAAAAAGGGAAGTCTTTGCTATTGTAAATACTGGCGACACTGTAGGGTGGTTTTATCGTGAACTGTAGGGTCTCTGGAGAGCTCTGGTGGCCTCGTGGTAAGGAGTTGCACTGCCATCATGAAGGTAGACAGTTCTGGAATCTACTAGTTGCTCCTCAAGACAAAGGTCTCCTCTTATGGGATTTACAGTCACTAAAACCCACTGAAGGCTCAGCTATGAGTCGGTTACCACTCGAAGGGACATAACTGCCAGGTGAAATAAAATGGCCTCACTTTTACTGGAATTGAACTTCTCATACAAAGCCCTACCCCTAGTTTCAGCCTGTTCAACTACTAGCGGAAAGCTGAATTGGCAGAAACAGGACGTTCCAGGAATATCATAGAAAATGAGCTGACCTAAGACTGTATCTACAAGATAAGAAAAAAAAGCCAACAGAATATTGCCCAACCAAGACTTTCTCATGTGATCTGCTAAATCTACCAACAATCTCTATATAAAACCTCCCCCACTAACAGCAAGAGCTGCTGATTTCCACTTTGAGAACCCAGCCTGCTTGTACCCAGGTGAAAATAAACTGGCTTATTGCTTCACACGTAAGCCTTGTGTGGTTGAGTGAAGTACTCCCGGTCCAACTCCAGACTAACCCCCTCCTCTTTGAAACTTTTAACAACACAACAACAACAACAACAACCAGAGTCTCTATGAATTGGAGTAGACTTACTGGCAATGGGTCAAGTTAGGCATTACAAAAAAATTCAAATATTAGTTTTGTGGTTACTCAGCAGCAGAAGGGCAGCTAGCTAATCTGCGTTTTTACCTGAGGAGCAGTAGGACTGAGGCCCATGATCCTAAAAGGGAAAGAGTACAGGCCCTTCCTCAGAACCCAGCTCAGGCACACAGATGAAAACAAAAACATTTTTATTTTTTAATGAATGTGAGGCAAGAAGTGAAAGCCAGGCTGGGGCAGGAAGTTGGAGGTAAGGGAGAAATAGAGATAGATCAGTGGTCGGGGAGGCTGTCACACAGCAGGAGAGTCGCCTGGAGCTGTGTGCACCTCTGTGCCTCACACTCGCTGAGACCCTGGCTTCTCAACTTGAGGAATTCCCCTGGGTTGCCTCTCTAGAGAGATTTAAGACAGTCCCAGCCTCAAAGCTTCCAGTGAATGAAAAAAAACCTTATAAATATTTGTGAACATGTATCCTTGAACCAAAGCTAGCTATTCCTAACCCATTCAGAAGAAGCGGTTTCCCCCTTCTTTTCTTCCTGGTTTTTTTTTTTTGTGGGTTTTGGTTGTATTTTTTTCTTTTTCTTCTTGATTGCTAAATTTTCTTCCCCATGAGGGAATTTCTTCTCCAAAGAGGAGTGAGAAAGTAAGTTCAGTGGCACAAAGTCTTAGTATCTTCTGCCTTGAAGGAAGATGCCTTTATTTCCTTGTTCACTTTCTGACTTGGCAGAAGTCAGAGGAAGGCCTGTTCTGTTCATTTATATACATAAAGAGCCAGACAAAAACAGCCCAATATGGTCCAAGTACAAGAACTACAGAGCCTCTGGTTGTATAAGTTCCTGGGTGGTGCAAATGGCTTGCTTTCAACATTTAACCTAAATGTCAATCTGACAGCAATGTGAAAGAAAGGAGAGGCCCTCTGCTTCCGTGAGACACGCCACCGAGAAAAGCCTGTGGAGCAGTTCTGCTTTATAAAACAGGAGCTCACCATGAGCTGGAATCAGCTAGATCACAAAGTATGCATGTATATGTGTGTGTGATTGTATAGTCTATATGCCTCATTTTACAGATTAGGCAAATGAAGCCTAGAGAGGTGAAAGTCTCATGGGACATCACACAAGCTCGGACAAACACCCAAGAGTCCTGACTCCCAGCCTCATGTTCCCTCAATACTGTACCTGCTCAGCTGGCTTTGAGCTCACAGATGTGGTTTCATGATGATTGATTCCATCTTCAGTGTTTGCTATGGTGAAAACCAGAGAGAAAAAGGGACAGAGTTGATCGGTCCAGATCTCATAAATTTTTATCAATGGGCTATACACATTCATATCAAGTTCATAGGTATACTATGGTTAAAACACACACGTTGTTGTATATCGTTGAGTTGTTACAGACCTATCGCTGACCTTCCAGCAAGTTTTCAGAGGCAGTAAATTACAGGGGAGGAGACTGCCCATTTTTCTCCCGTGGAGCAGCCAGTGAATTTGAACCACACACTGGAGAAAAAGTATTGAACATACCAGGGACTGCCAAGAAAACAAAGAGCTTTTTCCTTGAGAGAGTGAAACCAGGTTGCTCCTTGGAGGCAAGGATTTTGAAGCTCTGTCTCACATACTATGGGTATGTTGCCAGGAGGGACCAGTCCCTGTAGAAGGACATCATGCTTGGCAGGGTGGAGGGACAGTGCAGGAAAGGAAGACCCTGGATAAGATAGACTGACACAGCAACTGGGGTTATGGGAGTAGGTGTGCCAGAGACATTGAGGCTGGCTCAGGATAGAGCAGAGTTCAGAGTGATTTTACATAGAAAGAGTCACTGTGAGTCCCAGATGACTTGATGGCACCTAACAACCACTACCACCACCTTTCAGTTGACAGCACAATTCCTTACTACCAAGTCACCAGAGCTCGCTACACACAGACACCTATGAAAGTCATATTTCCTCACCAAATAATACCCATAACCTCCCTAGGCACAATCTAAATACCCTATTAAACATATCAAGACCTTACATTTAAATTTATATAGATATAGATGATATAGGTATAATTTTGGTAGTTCTTTAAAATAACAACAGCAGATTCTTTGCTACTAAAATTCAGATAAAGCTGATATTAAAAAGGAAATATTAATAGAAAAACAATATGCTGATGCTGTGAAGTATAAATTTTGTATGATTGCACTTCACTGAATAGGAAAATGCCTCTCTAACATAGAAATTAGAGATTTTCTTTTTACCTTGTAATGTGGTGTCAGAAAAGCTGGAAACATAAAGCACACAAGTCAAGGTCAAGGTGAGGGTAGAGGGATGGGGGTGTGTGTAGGAAAAGCAGAAACCAAGCTGTCGCCTCGTGAAGCCACATGGCTTTGGTGCTGGTGTGCCATTTACATGCTTCTCCTTGCTGGTTGATGTTACTACTACGTTCTGTTGAGAAGATGAGGCGTGAAAGATTAATTAAATTATCTAAGAATGTATAAATAGTGAGGTTTTTGAGTAAGGTTTTGTGTCTCAGACTGTCTAATCCTAAAACTCCATGGATTTATTTCACTTTTCCTCCCTGACCGCAGGAGAATAAATTTAATGGTCATAAGGGAATGTTCAGTGGAGGAACATATTTAGCTGAGCATGTCTTGGGATAGTTTCTATTTTCAATGTGCCTGCACTGACAAGGGCTTTGGGTCTCTTGTATGTGAGACTCGCGTCCAACAAAGAGTTCTTTCCATACCTGACACTCGTATGCAGCTTTCTTAAGAGCCGATGGCCATATGTGACTCTGTATCTTTGCTCTTTGACCTAAAGCCTCTGCTCATTTCTCACAGATTGACATTTTCTTTCCTGTTGTTTCCCAGCTGTCTTCTGCCTTGTTTGACAATGGCTTCTGCGCAGATTAGAAACGTATCCATTTTAAGACAGCTGTGGAAACATAGTTTTGTGTGATTGGCTCCATACCATGCCTTGAAATAGTGCAAGACCAGGACCAGAACCCCGATGTGACTTAACATTGTGTGCGTTTCCCTCCACATCACCCTGCCTTCTGTTAGTCTCCCTGGAGCTTGCCACATCACAGCTGCTTGGCCGTGGTCCATCTTCTGGACAAATCCAGCCCAGCAGAATTGTGTTGTGATGAGGTTCACTTCACTGCGGCTTGGAAAGAGCTGTAGGCCTTTTAGAAAGGAAAAGTATAAATTCTAATGCATAAGGAAAGTTCTTGTAACACCAGGAGAATGAATCAGTCAGACAGAGTTCAAGAAATATAAACACATTTTTAGATAGGAGACTGAAAAATCGCTTAGGACTTCGCCATTTCTTGGGTCAAGACCTTGCTAATTTACTGAAGTCCAAGCCGTCAAGAAGGAGATAGAATTCAAACCACATTCCTGGGAGATAAAGCAATGGGGGTGGTAACATTTCTTTTCAGAATAACACGGCAAGATCTACCCCTGCTATCAAACCACATAAATGGACTAGTCACCAGCCCAAGCAACAGACTGTGAACACAGGACTCATTTCTTTTTCATTATCCAGGAGCTGGTGTGTACATTCACAGACTACACGCTGTATAGCTTCGCGGACATCTGAAACTGGGAGCTCAGAGTCTTCCCATGATGAACATTTCTGCCACAAGAGATAAACAGAAAACACATTCTTTCCCTGGCTGCCCACCATCATGCATGAGCAGACGTTCAAACACTAGCATTAATCTAGCCACAGGCTTTTAGCAAGCAGATAGCATTACCACTAGATAATCAGGCAGTTCAGAGATGACCCTTGGTAGATGGGGTCTCATTCCGAACCTTTTCTGCTTTCTTCAAATCACGGAATCCTTCACCAAACACTCAAAACTTGAAAGGCAGGAAAGAACATCTGATTCATGGGATAGGGTGCCTCAGATTTCTCTTCTATTTAAATCTGTGTTCACTGTGTTTAATTTCCAAGTTGTTGTTTGTTGCTTTAAGTAAAAATGAAACATAGTCCGATTTATTCCCATGGTTTCAGATCTCTCCTTTTTCTTTGACACTGTGGTAGACCCTATCAGAGAAGAGACTGAAGAGGTACTTTTCTAGGCAAGATGGGTCAGTTGGCTCCTTAGAGGCATATCAAGGATCGGGAAAGGCGTTGGGCCCACAAGCTCCAAAGTGGCCAAATATTTCATGACGATGAGACCAATGATGTTGGAGGTGCTGGCAGAAGCCTCTCTAAGTGTGCTTGAGGTCTTTCCCTGCACAGACGGCTTCCGAGGTGTGAGGACACTTTGATGATTAGTATGCACTCATGGAACTTCCTCTATCACCTGCAGTGGCCTATCATTGCAGAGTGGATGATACACTATCCAATAGAACTTGGAAAGTACCTTTGCCTTCTTACAGCATTGCACATGGGCTTGCTGAAACCCAACAGAAACCACAGGGAGGAAGTTTAAAAGTCAGTCTTTGTATTTCTGTCATCACAGGAGACTAGAGCGAGGGCTACATGGTGGAGGGGACCTGGGGGAGGGTTTGTAAAACAATGAAAGAATCTTTTCTTTTACTTTTCCATAATTTTTGGACTCATGTACTTATAACTTGTTAGTCAAATTTGTGTCTTCTAGGTTGCAACACCCCCATGATACATCTTCAAGGATATGAACATGTACGGCCAAGCACAATCAATAAGAGTGCATCTAAATTCCAAAATCAATCTCCATAATAGTCTATGTGTTTCCTACTGCCAAAGGGGCCCTTTAGAGTAGTGAGAGAAGATCTTCACCCTGGAACCCACAGCGTCCCTTTTCAGCAGGAAGTAGCTAAGAGAATACGCCATCCCCTTTTCCTTATGACTCAGGGTGAAGTCTCTCTCAGGGAGGAGTGATAGGGAATGGCAAAGGACACACTGACAAAGAAGATTAATCAGAACTGGCTTTGACAAGCACTGTGGCATTTGGACAAGATCAAACTGGGAGGAGGGTGGAGGGAATAGTGCAGCAATGAGTGAGTGGAAGCCCAAAATCTCTGTAAATGTTTATGAAAATTAATAAAACAATTATAGAAAAACAAAACAAAACAAAAAAGTCAGTCTTTGTACATTCAGGGTATAGTTTTGGGTTTTTTTTGTTAGAGATGGAAAATGGAAATGTGAGTTCCAGATTATTTAAAAAAATAGCCTTCCCAGTATAAATTACCCATAAAAGGAGGGATAATTCTGGTCCCTTTACATAGTCCTGCTGACCTTTCCTTAAAAATGTTATTCTCTAAAAATACTGAATTTTATAGACTATGAATTAAGATGCCTAAGATCTATAGTATGTCTGTCATATTGTAGTAAATCCCAAGTCTGTTTAATGCTGGAATCTAAGGACCAAGATGGCATTTGGTATTACCATTATCAATTTCTTGGAATAAGACTTAAGACCCTTTTCGCGATAAATATATTTACTTTAAATCTTTCTAGATGAGAAGGAGGGAAAGATGAAATTATAAAAGCACTTAAGACCTAAGAAAATCTCCAATTTTCTCTAAAGACATATACCAAGAAGCTTTATTAAGTCAAGTGGAAAGATCTAGCATATATGTCAGTCTGAATTTAAATATGGAAATCCCAACTAAATATGAGCACAAAGTTTTTCACCTAATTTGGAATAACAATCCGTTTTCTCTATGTAGTTCTTCTTAGACCAAGACTAGATAAGCATCTAGGGTCTGGCGCTAACTTGGGGAACACCAGCTTCTCTCACAAGTTCATAAATTTTGTAGAATGGTTCAGTTACATGGCAGTTTTTCAAGTCCAAAATGGAAGGCACGCTAGATTGATGATGGAAGTCACATTTGAGTTGAGTAACAGCAAAATAGCAACTATGGGAGAGAACTCTGATCAACATAAATCACACGCTTAATGAGAATACCTGTGGTGGAAGACTTTGCTCAAGGAGGGAGTTAGGAAAAGAGACTGAAGGTGGCTCCATATAAAAAATGATCAGGAGCTCTGGTGGTCTAGTGGCAAGAAGCTGCACTGCAATTCCAGAGGTATGTGGTTTGAAACCACCAGATGCTCTGCAGGAAAAGGAGGGACAATCTCCTCCTGTACCAATCAGATCTGATTTGATGGTTACATACACACAAAATAAGAAAATGAAAAAAAAAAAAAAGATGAACCGAGTCCATTCACATGGTGGTCTTGAATATCTGCAAAATATTTTTCTTGATCTTGACCCTCAAAAAATTTTTATCTTTCAGATCTTCCAGCCTCTACTCTCCACAACTGGCAGAGTTACTTCTCTAAAATGAAAATCTGGTTGTGTCAATTCCTATTAATCAGTATCTCATAACCTTGGGATGAATTCTTTAGTTATTACTGATAAGCATTATGATCTGGCTTGTGCCTGTCCCACAGTTTTTTACATTATTCCAAGTATGTTTCCCCCATACTATCATCTGCCATGTTCTTGCACCTTCATATGTCCCTTCCTTTGAAGCTTTCTTCCATATCCTCCACTTGGCTATTTTCTACATGCCCTACTGCTGTTGAGTTGATTCCATCTCATAGCAACCATCCGTTGAGTTTCTGAGGCTGTAACCCTTGACAGGAAGAGACTGCAGACTCTTTTAACATGGCAGTACAAATTAGATTGCTTTCTAAAACTATTTTTGACAGAGAATCATCACTTTATTAGTGAGAATCATCACCATTTCATTTTCCTTTACTTCTATCACTAGCCCCATTGACTGAAATGATTTATTTATTTGCTTTTTTAGGGCAATTAACAATGTAAAGACAGAATATTTTTCTTAAAAAAACACCCACACCACAGTAACTTCACAAGTGCTCTTATAGATGTTATAATGAATATAGACCATGCTACTGAGATGGGCTTATCTTCCAGCACCGTACCAGACAATGTTCCATTGCTATTCAGTGAGGACTTCAAACTCTTGTTGAAGAAGATCAAGGACTACAATTTTCAGTATGAATTACACCTTAGCATCAAAATCCTCACCACTGGAACAATAGGCAACATCATACTTGCCTACTCATCAATACAACCCATTGCCATGGAGTTGGAACTGATTCATAGTTGACCCTTCAGTGGGTTTTCAGAGGCTCAGGGGATGAGATAGCCCATATTTCTCCCTCAGAGCAGTTGGTGGATTGGAACTGCCTACCTTTGGGTTGGCAGCACAACTCTTTACCCATTAGGTCACCAGAGGTAGAGAAAAGATTGGAGTTGCCAAGGGTCTAATTTTATTTGGATCCACAGTCAACGTCTATGATAGCAGCAGTCAAATGATCAGAAGATATATTGCATTGGACAAATCTGTTGTCAAGGACCTCTTGAAAGTACTAGAGAGCAAGGGTATCAGTTTAAAGACTAAGGGGTGCCTGACTCAAACACAGTATTTTCAATTTCTTTATATGCAGTTAATATGTGAACTTTGAACAATACATAAGGAAGACGGAAGGATAAATTATGCTTTTGAACGATGGTGTTGGTAAGGAATATTAAATATACTATGGGCTGCCAAAACAACAAATCTGTGTTCAAAGAAACAAAGCCAGAATTCCCCTTGGAAACAAAATTGTGAAGCTTCATTTCACATACTTTGGGCATGTTATTAGGAAGGATCAGTGCTTGGAAAAGGATATCATTCTTGGTACATGGTGGAGAGTTGGTGAAGGAAAGGAAGACCCTCAATGAGATGGACTGACACTCGGATTACAACAGTGGGTTTAAACACAGTGGACCTTGTGAGGATAGTGCAGGATCAGGCAGGATGCGCTTATATAGATATAGACAGACATATTGTATATAGATCACTGTGGGTTGGAGCTGACTGGAGAGCATCTAACAACCACTGAGATGAGAATACTGGGAAGGTGATTAGATTACTTATGAGTCTATGACTGTCTTATGTCTCCAACCTCATGTCTATGGTTTTACTTCATGCTTCTGTAAGATGATAATTTGTATGTGTTCTCTTCCTGACTTTTGAGGTCATTTTCAAATAAATACTTGAAACAGAATTTTAGTCAACCTATATAATCTTTCCAAATCCTACCCAATTTATCTGAATATATTCAAACCCAAATGACCAAAAGGAAGACAAAACATTGTTTTAAAGTGTGATCTAGTTGGTTCCAACTCACACTGATCCTCTGTACACAATGTCTCCTACATCTGAACTCACTGCTGCAACTACTGTGTCAATACATGTCACCGAGTGTATTCTTAGTTTTCACTTTCTACAACACCAAGTGTGATGTGCTTCTCCATGGACTGATATCTCCTGAAAACATGTACAATGCAAATGAGACATGTGTATATATAAAAAAATGTATATAAAAATATGCCTCTTCAGGATCTGAAAGTTGGACAGTGAATAAGGAAGACTGAAGAATAATTGATGCCTTTGAATTGTGGTGTTTGTGAATAGTATTTAATAGTCCATGGACTGCACACAAAGCAAGCAAATCTGTCCTGGAGGAAGTGCAACCAAGATGCTCTTTAGAGGTGAGGAGGGTGAGTCACCATCTCATATACTTTGGGCGTACTGTCAACAGTCCTTGGCAAAACACATCAAATGTCTAAGGATAGAAGGGAACTATAGGTTATCTCAATAAACATAAATTTTAATGTGCTCTTTAAACTTAATCTGGGAAGACATCTGATACTGTCAGAGTGATAACACTTTTCTTAAAATTGTATGGAAATGTTAAACATAAAAAGAAGAACTTTTATCAAGATCATTGAGCAAATCGAGATAACAAATGTTTCCTCTATGCTGAGCCCTGAAAGAATTAACTCTATGTTTATATAGGCAGTCCTGTTAGAATTAGTTTTCCTGCAGAAATTATATTGTCCATAGGAATTAAAATCCTGTTTTGAGTATCAAGTACTTATATAACAGAAAAACCTCAAGTGGTTGGCTTTAACCTTCACTGTTGAACAGGCTAGAACTCAAATTCAGACCCTAGAAGAAGTCTTTCTTTTGATTGTGGGAGAAAGTCCTTGTCTTTCACCTTCTATTCCTTGGTTTCTTGGTAATCTTCATGTGGTGGGGCATTTCCCATTCTTTATCTCTGCTTGCTTCTCTGGGCCTAATCTGCCCTTTTTATATCTCACAGGGAATCAGCTTGCAACACACCTTCCATGGATATTATGTAATGAGATAATTATTTCCATCCTCAACAAAGGTGATCCAGCAGAATGTGGAAACTATCAAACAATATCATTAATATCACATGCAGGCAAAATATCACTGAAGGTCCTTAAAAAAACAGAACAGTACATAGATAGGGAACTGCCAGAAGTTCAAGCAGGATTTAGAAGAGGCTGTGGCACCAGGGATAGCTGATACCAGATGGATCCTGGCTGAAAATAAAGAATACCAGAAGAATGTCTATTAATGCTTTACTGACGACGTAAATGCATTTGACTGTGTGGATCTTAACAAGTTATGGCTAACACTGAGAAGAATGGGAATCCCAGAGCATTTAATTGTGCCCATGTGAAACCTATACCTAGATGAGAAGGCTGTTGTGTGAGCAGAGCAAGGGAACACTTGCTGTTGTTGTTAGGTGCTGTTGATTTGAGTATGACTTATAGTGACCCTATGAACAGCAGATCTGAACCCCATCTTACTCTGTGTCATCTTCACACTTCCTGACACACTAGAGGCCATTGCAGCAGTTACTATGTCAATCCACCTGATTGAGGGTCTTCCTCTCCCTCACTGACCCTTCACCCTTCCAAGCATCATGTCCTTCTCCAAGGAACAGCTCTCCTAGCAACATGCCAAAGTATGTGAGGTGAAGCCTCATCATCCTTGCTTCCAAGAGCACTCTGCCTGCACCCTCTCCAGGAAGCCTTGTCATTTTTTCATACCTTCAAAGAACACTCTGGCTGCACCCTCTTCAGGACATACTTAATTGCTGGTGGTGGTTTTTTTCCCTTCTTTCCCCCCACCCCCACCCTGGTTCAGTGCTCTTCTCCAATACCACAACTCAAATGCATCAATTCTTCTGTCATCCTTATTCACTATCCAGCTCTCAGATGCATAGCAAATGATCAGAAAAACTATGACCTGAATCAAAGACACCTTAGTTTTCAAAATGACATCATTACTCCTCAATAATTTGGCTAATTTCTCAAGCTGAGAGAACTGAAAAATAAATTTAAACTTTGGGTCACAATATTGAAAGATGTTATGGGCAAGATATCAAATGACCCAGAAATTCCCATCCTTCTCCTGAGGAGCAATGTTGTTGTTGTTGTTGTTATATGCAGTCGAGTCCCTTGCGACTCATAGCGATCCTATGTGCAACAGCTCTAAACTCTGCTCTGTCCTGTGCCAATCTCATTGTCTCCGACACACTCATCCCAATTGCCCCAGTCACTGAATCAATCCACCTTCCAGAGGGCTTTCCCCTCCTGTGCCTGCCCTCCACCCTCCCAAACATGACGTCCTTCTCCAAGGACTGGTCTCTCCTTACAACATGTCCAAAGTATGTCAGACGAAGCCTCAGAATCCTTGCCTCCAAGAAGCAGCCAGGTTTAACCCTCTCTAGGATGAAACTGTTTTCTTAGCAGTCCATGGTACCCTAAACACTCTTCTCCAACACCAAAGCTCAAAAGCATCTATTCTCCTATCCTCCCAGCTCTCTGACGCATAACAAGTGATTACAAAGACCATGGCCTGTACCAGACACACCTTAGTCTCCGGAGACACACACCGTTGCTCTTGAGTACTTAAGAGAGGTCCCTAACAGCAGACTTTCCCATTGCAATACGTCTTTTAATTTCCTGGCTGCTGGTGCCAGGAGTGTTGATTGTGGAGCCAAGCAGATTAAAGCTGTGAACGATCTCAATCTCTTCACCATCCCTCCTGATGCTGCCAATTGGTCCAGTGGTGAGAATCTTTGTCTTCTTGACATTGAGCCTCAATCCATGTTGGAGGCTGCAGTCCTTGACCCTCAGCAGCAAGCACTTCAGGTCCTCCTCAATTTCAGCAAGCAGGGTTGTGTCATCTGCATAATGCAGATTGTTGATAGATCTTCCACCTATCATGATGCCGCATTTCTCCTCATAGAGCCCAGCCTCTTGGATAATCTGTTCTGCAAACATGTTGATAAGGTATGGAGACAGGATACATGTCTGGCGTACGCCCTTCCCAATTTGATATATTTCAGCTAACAGATGCTGCCCTGGATGTGCTCACCAAGTTGTGTTAAAAATTCTGGAGAAAAGCCACTTGGCCAACTGACAGGAAGAGATCTATATTTGTTCCCATTCCAAAGAAAGGTGACTCAACAGAGTGTGGAAACTATAGAACAATATCGTTGATTTCACATGTAAGCAAGATTCTGCTGAAGATTATCCAAAAGCGACTGGAAGAGCACATCAGCAGAGAACTACCAGAAGTCCAGGCTGGGTTTAGAAGGGGTCGTGGTACTAGGGATATTGTAGCGAATGTCAGATGGATCTTGGCTGAAAGCAGGGAGTACCAGAGGAATGTCTATCTGTGCTTCATTGATTATGCAAAGGTGTTTGACTGTATGGACCATAACAAACGGTGGCTGACTCTGAGAAGAACGGGAATCCCAGAACACTTGATCGTGCTAATGTGAAACACTTGAACCAAGAGACAGTCATCAGAACAGAGCAAGAAAACACTGCATGGAGGAGCAATGAGTGGATTAAAACTGCACACATTCATGTTGCAGTGCAGCTTCTTACCACTTGGCCACCAATGTAACACTGAGTGGACAATACTGAGAGAGAATGCGGGAATGAGGTTAGGATAGGAGGCCTGTCATACATTCAGGGTGAGGGTGAGGACGAGAAGCTGCCTGGAGGGAAGGTGTCTTTTTTTTTTTTTTTTTTTTTTAGGGAAGGTGTCTTAAGCACTAAATAGAGAACTGAAGGTTGGAGTTAATTAGGCAATGGGGTAAAAGTCAGGGAATAGTAGGAGGTGGAGTAGGATCTCTGCCAGAGAAGAGTATGCTCAAAGGCTAGGACATGAGAAAGAAGTCTTTTAGTTACTAGGTCCAGAGAGAAGGAATAAGTGTCTTTCTTCCTGAACATAGAGCTTGCCAAAGGCAGTTCTAAAATAGGCCATGCTTGTCTTTCACATCCTACCATCTCCCTTTCTCTGTTTTTCTCTTTCCTCTTCTCCGTATAGCTAATCCTCCTCTGTTTATCCAGCCTCTGACTCATCCTACTAGTCAGGAAACCAAAGACCCATTTACAGTGGGTTATAGTGACTCTTTTTTGAGATTCAGAGGCTGTAAATCTTTATGAAAAGTGACTGTGAATATTTCTCCCACAGAGTGGCAGGTGTACTTGAATCACTGACCTTTGTAGTCTCATACACTCCCTACTATACCATCAGGGCTTCTTATAGCCGTTAAAATTCTCCTTACCACAAAATAACCCAACCAGTGTTTCCATCCCTATCAAAGTTTTTAGTGGCCCAGAGCAGCTGTTCTCAGCTAGGATGCAAGAGGATAAGATCTGATTAAGCAGAGTTTCATTAAAGTATGAGTGATCATTACTTTCTAGGAAGTATCAGGATTTTAAATCAGGGAGCTCTAGTGGCCCAGTGAGTGGTAGGGAGTTGCACCAACAATCTGAAGGCAAGTAGTTTGATTTCACCAGCTCCGCCTGAGGAGAAAGGTGGGCAATCTTCTCCCATGCAGTTTATAGGGCCTGGAGGGTTTTAGAGTGGGTTCCAATTCAACAGCACTTAACAACAGCAAAACAGTATCTAAAAAGAAGATGATAATACTGCATAAGACCATTATGGTAAAAACAGAAGGATAACTAGTAAGATGTGTACAAAAATCAAAAGGGGGAAGAAGAAAGGCCCCAGGGGCCCTAGGGGGTAGGTGGGGATAAGGAGGGATCATGATGTCAAAGAGTTTGGGAGGCGTAAGGAGGGGGTGAAAGAATTAGGGAGGACTTGCCACAACAAGATAAAGATAAACAACCCAGTTGCAAAATGGGCACAGGATATGAACAGACACTTCACCAAAGAAGACATTCAGAATGGTAAACAAACACACAAAGAAATGTTCAAAATCCCTAGAGAGATGCAAACTAAAACAACTATGAGATGTCATCTCACCCCAGTAAGAACAGCAAAATTCAACAGAGCAGAAAACAACAAATGCTGGCGAGGTTGTGCAGAAACTGGAACCCTTATTCACTGTTGGTGGGAATGTAAAATGGTGCAACCACTATGGAAGGCAGTATGGTGCTTTCTCAAAAAGTTGCAAATAGAGATTCCATTTGACCCAGCAATTCCGCTACTGGGAATATACCCCAAAGAGATCATAATTGCCACCCAAGCACACCCATGTTTATCGCGGCTTTGTTCACAATAGCAAGGAGTTGGAAACAACCTAAGTGACCATCAACAAACAAATGGATAGAGAAGCTGTGTTATAGTCACACAATGGAGTACTACGCTGCATTGAAAATCAGGAACTCAAGCAATATTATTAACAATGGGTCACCCTGAAGGACATAATGCGGAGTGAAATATCTCAGTCACAAAAGGACAAATACTGCATAGTGCCACTGTTGTAAAACAAGACTGACATCGGGGTTAGGGAGAGACTGAGAAGGATGGGATAAATAATGTTTACTGCATTGAAACAGATGAGGGAGAAAACGGTTTAAAAGGGTATGCGATTAGGTATTGTTGTAATGACAGGAGTCCAGAACAAAGGTTGCAGAGTGGGGTGGACCTGAGTGGAGGGATTGTATAACAATGAAAGAATTTTTCTTTTACTTTTTAAAGAGAAGAATGTACTGGGGAGGGGAGGGGTGGGCAGGGAGATAAGTGCAACAATCAATGAATAAATGGAAATCCAAAGTCTCTGTAAATTTTAATGAAAATTAATAATAATAAAGATATAAAGAATTAAAAAAAGAAACTAAAAAACTAAAGAAGATGCTTCTTCTCAACTCGAAGTGAACTTCTTATTGGTAGGATTTTACAGAATAAAAGTGTAATTTTAAAAATTAAGGCTAGTTGAGGAAAACTAGTTTTGGCCTGGGGAGCAGTGAACAGTCAAAACTCAAGCTCATTGCTATGGATTTGGACCAGACTCATAGCTGACATTCCGTTTCATTTCTGAGACTGTAAATTGCATGGAAGATGATTTCTCATCCTTCTCTCATGGAGCCACTGGTGGGTTGAAGCTGTCCGAGGCATGTGATCCTTGGGTTAACAGCACTAATCCCTATGGACAATGCCACCAGGGCTCCCTTGGTCTGTGGAGCTACCCTGTAAATAGGCCAGTCTTACGTAAAAAGCTGCCTCAAGAGTTGGGTTTTCTCAAACTGTTCTCAGCTATTCTCAGCTCTTTTCCTTCTTTCCATGGTATCTGGAAGAGCCACAAATGATTTTTAACTTAATCTAAAAAAGGGTAGTTGATGCTGTATAAGGACAATTGGAGGGAGATGTGCAAAAAAGACATTGTTTGTACTAACTCTTGTTAGGTCAGGAACTTTGTAAACACTGACTATTGTCAGACGGAAATGTGCCCAATGAGATGGACCTTGCCATAGTCACGCAGAGTGGTCGGTCGGAACGCAGGCTCTTAGGTAGTTCACATCGCAGCCTCACCACACAGCTGTGTGATGTTGCAAAAGTTCCTATACAAAAAATGAATAATAGAATGAATTTTCATTATTGCCATGGAGATTACACAAATGAGGTGATGTGAAACACTCAGCACGCTGACATAGAAAAAAGTATGTTAACATCATCATCATCATCATCATCATCTTTTTAAAATTGGGATTTTAATGAAAGATGTAAAATGGTGCAACTTGGATTTTAATGAAAGATGTAAAAGGGTGCAAAGTGGACTTGGATCTCCATTCATTTTTTGTTGCACATTTTCCTCCCTGCCCATACCACCCCCAGTTTGCTTTTCTCCTTGAAAAAAAAAGATTCTTTCATTGTTATACAACACCCCTCCTCCACCCCAGTCAACTTTACTGTGCAGCTCTTATTCTGCCTTCTTATAATACCTAATCATCTATCCCTTTTAAACTGTTCTCTCCGTCATCTGTTTCAATGCAGTGTATATTATTTATCCTGAAAACAAACCCAAATTCCTTGTTGTTGAGTCAATTTCAAGGCTTCAAGATTCTCTCTGCTGCGGGTAGGTGTCGCCAAGGTGGTGTCACAGACGGAAACTCTGCCAGGCCCTGCGTGTGATCATGAACTTGGCTCTGCTGTGTCCATCCATCTGCTAAGGGTCTTCCTCTTTTTGCTGAGCTTCAACTTGTCCAAGCATAATTTTTTCTCCAGGGACTGGTTCCCCCTGATAACATGCTCAGAATATGTGAGAAACAGTCTCCTCACCCTTCATTCTAAGGAGGATTCAGGTTGTACTCCTCACCCTCATTCATAAGGGTGTTCTGGCTGAACTTTTTCCAAGACTGAGCTGTTCCTGTGCTAACCATTCATGGTATATTCGATATTCTTTGTCAAACCTTAATCCAAAGGCATCAGTTCTTCTTCAGCCTTCTACATCGTTCAACTTTCACATGCTTATGAGGTAATTGAAAATATCATGGTTTGGGTCAGGCACACTTTAATTCTCAAAGGTGACATTTGAGACCCTATATAAATAACAAAGGAGCTTAGTCGGCCTTGTGGGTAGGGAATTGTACTGCCAACCCAGAAGTGCATGGTTTGAACCTGTCAGCTGCTCGATGGGAGAAAGATGGGGAATCTTCTCCTGCGTGATTTGTAGCCTCTGAACACCTGCTGGAAGGTCAGATAGGAATTGGTTTTGACTCAATGGCAATGAGAAAGAGAGAAGGAACAACGTTTAATTGCCTGATAAAGTTTCCTAGGCTTTAATCCTTATGGGAACATATTACCAGGTCTTTCCTAGGGAGTTTGAACTGCTGAACTTTGGGTTAACAGCCAATTTTCCAATCACAGAGCCACCAGGACTCCTTCTTTTATCGCTAAAAGGAATCCATTTAAGAGCTGCTCTGACCCAGTTCACACCAGTGAGCAGACATGACAGTGAAACTCTTCTCTCTGTGGTCAGAATGTCTGTCTGAGGTAGGTAGCAAGAGTGGATAATGCAGAGCTCATCAGGGATGTATTCTCTTTGCTTCTAGATTTCGAGGTGGGCAAGCATGTGATTGCATCTTTGTTCTTTGTTGCTGAACGAACTCTGGGGGAAATGATCCCTTCTGCTCAACCCTGACTCTAGTTGTTACTCTGTGGTGTTGCTTCCTGTTAGGACAGCAGGTCCCTCAGCAGGATTCTTTGCTGCCTGACCACCCTCCCCGCCCCCCCCCCATAAGTGCAGAGGAAGACCACACACATTTCCCTTTTAAGCAAAGACTATTTTTAGGATAACCACCCTTTCCCTGGTCTGATGTAGCATCTTGACTGTGATTGGAGGATGAACTACAAAGTCACCCTCTATTCCCAGATCTTGCGTATCTTTCCACTGGGAGATGAAATGAGAAAGGAAGCCTGGAGGAGGCAGGATAGGTCTCAGTCTTCCACTGTGTATGACAATTAACAATCTGGAAGAAGAAGCAGTTCACTACAAAGTGAACTGGGGGAGGGGAAAGCAGGGGGAGGGAGGAAAATGTGCATCAGTGAGTGAATGAAAACCCAGCCTTTCTGTAAACTTTTACTAAAATCACAAAAAAGAAAAAAAAAAATTACAGGTCCAATAGCTTTTCCCAGGCAGTTTTATCTCACATGTGGCTGTGCCTGTTTTAACAACTCTGCTGTTGCCGTTAAGTCAATTTTTAATCATAGTGACACAGGACAGAGAACTCCCAGGGGCTTTCAAAGCTGTGACTCTCCGTAGAAGCAGACTGCTAGCCCTCTCTCAGGTGTAGTAGCAGCAGGTAAACCTTTGAATGAGCAGCTGAGCGTTTAACCACTGGACCACCAGCATTCCTTTGCCCACTCAAGGGGGCACTTAGATACAGTGTGCACACAGCTTTACATTGTGAATTGTGTGGTGTACACCCTGTGTAACCTGCACAACCCACACGACTTCCTTGCACTTTGCCTTCCCTGGACCAGCAGAGCACAATCTTTCATTTCTACGGACCTCTCCTCTAACAATTACACTCCAGCCACAGTGTGCAGGCTGTCCATGAGTAACTCATAAAGAGATCACCCTTTTCAGGCTCTCCAAGAAAGAAATACTTTTCCCTATTTACTGGTCGGAAAAATATTTGGGGAGAAATTGTGTGTTTCTGAAGGTCTAATCATATGTATATAAAAATTGGATAATAAATAAGAAAGATTGAAGAAGAATGGATGTCTCTGAATTGTGTCAATGTTGTTTTTATGTGCCATTGAGTCACTTGCAACTCATAGTGACCCTATGTGTAATAGCTCTGATCTCTGCTCTATCTTGAGCCAGTCTCACTGTCTCCAACATGCCTACCCCTATTATTCCGGTTACTGTGTCAATCCATCTCATTCAGGGTCTTCTCCTGTGCTCTTCCTCCACCCTTCAAAGCACAAGGTCCTTCTCCAAGGACTGGTCCCTCCTGGCAACATGCCCAAAATACGTGAGACGGAGCTTCAAAATCCTTGTCTCCAAGGAGCAGCCTGTTTTCACCCTGGCTAAACCTCTTTGTTCTCTTGGCAGTCCATGTGCTGGTGAAAAATCCTGACTATACCATCAACTGCCAAGTGAACAGGCCAATCTTCTTTAGAAAAGGTGTAGACAGAACGTTCTTTTGTAGTGAGGATTAGGAGACTTCACCTCACATACTTTGGGCATGTTATCAGGAGGGGCTAGCCCCTGGAGGAAGACGTCATGCTTGGTAAAGTAGATGGGAAGTAAAAGAAAGGGAGACTCTTGACACGATGGTCTGGCTCAGTGGCTGTGACAGAGCACTCAAACCCAGCACCAACTGTGAGGATCATGCAGGACTGAGCAGGGTTTTGTTCTGTCATACATAATGTCACTGTGAATTGAAGTAAACTTGATGGCACTTCACAACAACAAAGCAGGAAATAAGAAGGCCTCATGGTGCAACAGTTAAGCACTGGTCTACTGACCAAAAGGTTAGTAGTTGGAGCCCAGTCAGCAGCTATGCAGAAAAAAGGTCTAACAATCTGCTTCTACAGGATTTTAGTGTAGAACACACTGTCGGGCAGTTGAATATTTGTCACATGGTGTTACTCTGAGTCAGAATTTACTAGATGGTATACAACAACAACAGGTGTGAAGTAATACATGCATTAATCAAATGACAGAGAGGAGGAGAGGTGGTATTTTGGGGAGGGGTATCGAGGGAAGGAACTTGTTTTTATAAGGTGTGACTAATCAAAGATAAAGACATTGCTGTAGAGTTAGAACGGACTCATCACTAACCCTCCAGAAGGTTTCAGAGGCTGTCAATTGCACAGGAGGCAATTGCCTCTCCTTCTCCCTCAATTAACTACCAGGATCCTCCTTTTAATGAATGGCACTGGAATTCACAGATTTGTAGGCTGTAAAACAAAGAAGATTTCTACCTGAGAGTGTGGAAAAGTCTTGGTTGGGGGAAGCAAGCAATTTTTCTTACACCAAGACAGGCAAACACTAAGTGGAATGCTTATATATTTAAAACCTTGTAATACATTGGATGATTTTGAAAACCTATAGATGCAATTGTGGAGAGAAAGTTGATGTAGGATTAAGAAGTATTGGAAAAGTTATTTTTTCCCCCAATATTTCTTATCTTACTCAAGATTATTCTTAATCCCACTCAAGATATTTAAAAGCAAAATCCTACAGGATGCAAACATTGCAAGAGAACTTTCAGCAGAGCAACAGCATTGAAACAGTTAATGGTTGACTCACACTATGAGGCGATGCCCAGATTTGAACAACAGATGTGGTGCGGGGCCCCAGTGCGTGCAGCACCGGGGGATGACAGCCAAGCTTGAGGAGCCCCAGTCTCCAGCTGGAGTTGGAACACAAGTGCTGGGCCAGGGCAGACACGAGGGATTCCAGCCAAAAGGACAGACAGGCTTTTTCACAGTCCTGGATGCCCACCTTTTCCCCTCCCCGCCGACCCCTGGGATCTGCTGCAGCCTTGGATGAATTATTCTCCTTGATGCCCTTGTCAGTTAATATGAAAACAAGTTAAAGGTCTGAATGGCTGAAGAGGATTAGGATGACAAACCAGAGAATGATAGTTAAGAGGTAATAGATAGCAAAAGGTAGGTCCCTACATCGATCCAAAATGGAGAAGGAATTAAACACACACACACTCTCTATCTAGGGAGCTCTGGAGCTTAGTGCTAAGGAGTTGCTGTCAGCTCACATCCACAAGCTGTAAAAACCTGTTGGAAGGTCAGTTAAGAGTCAGTTCCAACTTGATGGTACAGACCAACTATATGTGTGTGTGTGTATATATATATGTATGTTGTTGTTGTGTACCATAGTCAGAACTGATCCATAGCTTACCCTCTGGTGGGTTTTCAGAGGCAGTTAATCACATGGGAGGAGATTGCCCATTCTTCTCTGTTGAGCAACTGATGGCTTTGAACCACTTAGCAACTGCAGTGCAGTTTCTTGCCACTAGGCCACCAGAGCCCCCTTGTGCATGTGTGTAAATATATATATATATATTTTTTT